ACACATTCATGTTTTTGAGAGGGATGTGGCTCAGCTAAATGCTTTCTCCTGTGGTTCTTCATGTTTTCACGCAGGTGTTGTTAGGTGCCATAGTCATCTAAAGCTCAAGTAGGTCACATATCCAAGATAAGCTCATTCATAAGCCAGAAGATCATGCCTATTGTTGGCCTGAAACATAGCTGGTGCTGTTGAACACGATTTTTCCATGAGTTCTTCCACATCCTCGCAACTAGATTCCAAAAGGAGTCCCCCAAGAGCTAATCTTCCAAGAGAGCAAGAACAAAGCCACAAGATGTTTATGAGTTTTTTCACCAATGATAGAATGCCATTTCTCCCACATTCTGCATCCCTTCCTGCAGAGGTTCACTCTCCATTAATAGGATAATGAGGGGTTTCTATTTTGTGGATATTCAACTTTGCTTCAGCTGCAGAAAACACAGTTAAATTGTGACCCTCAATTTTCATAAATACTTTTGCTCAATGTTTCCTGGCTTAGAGTGGCTGCTTTCCTTTCATTATTTTTCAAAATTTTTATCATTATTTTAATTTTTTTAATATTTAATTTTTTGTAGGGCTTCTTAAATAACATCTGGAAATAGGTTGAGTGCAAATATAAAGTGTTATTGTGGTAAATTTCCAGCTTCCTTCCCTCTCCTTCTCTCTCTCTCTTTTCTCTCTGTCTGGTTGATTCTTTTCTGTTTCCCTCTGTTTCTGGTTTTATTTGTTTTTTTATTTTTTATATTTTTTGTTTTATTGTTTATCTCTTGCAGAAACTGAATTTTCAGAACTGAGAACTTGGATTAAATTCAGGTATGGTAGTTTGATTTTTCAAGGGAGCAAGATTCAAAAACTTTTTTCCATGACATAACTTTACATCCAATGGGGAAGACACCTGAACACCCCTATAAGAAGCGTTGCTCCCCCAGTGAACAGGGGCTTCCATTCTTTGCCAACAAGTATTAAGCTTTTCTTTACCTTACACAAGCATAAGTTCATCTCATTATGCAAAACCAGGGAGAAATGATGTGATGAATTTTAGATTCTCATCAAGAATTAATTAGCTCATACTTCCTATAAATGTGGTGTCATCTCTTAAGTTCCTTAGAGTGCTGTACATGACAAGATAAATTGCTAGTGACTTTAGGTAAATTACAGAGTTTTGTCAATCTTAGAAACAAAGCTGAAACTTGTGACAGTTTCGAAGTGTTCTCAGGAAATGTGGAACAACTCCCAATTAAAGCTGAAGTAAACAGCACATGTGAACCCACATGTATGGCTTCACTTAGAATGCTTTGTACAAGGCACAGAAACCAAAGGGTAAGGTTAAACACAGGCATAAATATGTGCACATGTACACACATGCACACACAAAGACACATACACAGGCAAACACATAGCCCCCTCTCTTGTGGTGTCATTTTACAAGAAGTTCTGCCCACAGGTGTCTGCGCTAAGAAGCCAAATGTAAACAGGTCCAGGAATAAGCACACAGTACTGCTTGCATTTCTTTCTTTCTTCCCTTCTCAATCTTTCTTTTTCCTCTTTTGTTACTGATCCATTAGACCTTGAGTTTTCTGAGAAGTTTCAGCCAACTCTTTCCTCTCCCAGAATGATTAACTTGGTCCATAGTGTTCAATACATAAATTGATGGTGCTGATTGATTTTAAATCAGCAGTACCTTATGTGAGTTTCTGTGTATGTCATGTGTATGTTGGTGAGAGAGAAAGAATTTAGTATAGCTGTCAAATGATACCACCTAATAGATGGTTGGAGGTGGTTGGCCACAAGAGTGTACCTATGCAGGCTACCAGAAAGTGACTCGGTTTTCTCTGAAGAGCAGCTCCATGTAGCTAATGATTGGAAAATCAAGTGATTAAAAACATACAGACCTCCAAGACACACTAATAGAGCATAAAATTGCATGCTCTTAATTCTTATAAGTATTCAGAAAAGGATTATGAGTATACCTCTCTCTCTCTCTCTCTCTCTCTCTCTCTCTCTCTCTCTCTCTCGTTTCGTCCACTCTTTTTCTGCAGTTGAGAATTGTGACCTCTTGAGTTCAGCCATGTGGGTAATGAGACCAGGGAGGCATAAAATCAGAAACAAGAAAGGTCTATGCACTGTGGCTTGCCTGTGGAGAGAAAGGCCCAGTGTAAGGACCAACTGGGACAGAATACCATTGATTCTCATTATCAGTCATAGTTCTTACCTATAAAGTCACTGGCACCTAGGTTAGTAAATAATAGAAACATAGCTTTTAGGAGAAAGGTAAGGTGAGCTTCTTGTGAGTCTCTAGTCACAACATATACATTAAGCAGTCAATGCATACCTTACATTATGTGTATTCTGCTTAAAGAAATCTTATGTAATATGCACTGTCAGATCATTACTGTTGATCTCAGTGAATAGCATTTTATAATTCATGCGTGACCAAAGTTTATAAATATGTTTTATTTGAAAGGGAAACCGCAACTTTCTTTTGCCTAGGGGCACTAAACAGCACTTAGCACTACCCTTGGGGCCTTTTAGTTTTCTTTCAGGTCCTGGGATCAAGCCTGGAGTTTTGTGCATTTTAGGCAAACACTGTACCACACCCCAAAGTCTTTGGGGCCATTTTAAGCAGCAGCATCACCAACAGAAAAAAATAAAATTTGGAAAAATATGGCACAAAACACACTGCAAAAGAACACTTGTTTCTAATATGATGCATGAAAACAGAATGCCCCTTTTTTAGGCCTTGGTAGAGAGCATGTGTATCAGGGGTACAAATTATTCACCACCTGCACATCTGTGAATGGTCTCAGAGGGCTCCAGGTTTGGAGGCTAAAAATAACTGCTACCTTGTAGGCAAATGAATGAGTTATGTGAATAAAAAAGTCTAGCTCTATATACATTAGTAGGCAAATTGGTAATCCTTATATTGAAATACATCGACTGCTCTAATCAGATCTATTGCACATCAATATGGGATCAAGATGAAGCAAAAGCAGTGGTTTCTAAGACTTGCTTCCTAGTACAGTTGTTTTGCTATTTAATTCGAGATGGTTGAGAGACTTAACTACTAGGCACCAATCGGAATCTAAATAAAATTTCTTTATAATTTAAGATCTAATGGCATAACTGAAGGATACAAAAATGGCAACTTGATAAATAGAAACAAAAATAATGTCTTTTACAGAAAATTATGCCCAGTGCTATTTTAGTGATATCTGAAGTGTCCCTGAGCTGGCATGACCCATTAGACACCGTTTTTGAAATTAATGTTGAACTTGGCAAACTTTAGAGAACCTGGATCTTTCTTTGGGATACAGCCAACATAAGAACAGCAGATTAGTGTAATAATAAGTATTCTTATTAGTGTGCACTAAGAATTTCAGCTCAGAAACTTATTTGAAAAAGCTCATGAAAGCTAAATCAAGTAGTTTGTACTTAAACATTGCCCCAAATCCTAGATAATATGATAGAAATAATGAACATAAGACCACAAGGAAACCCTGTAATATAGATATTTTTATACCCGTCCAATAGCAAATGGGTTCTATTATTTTAAGGATTGTTAAAAGAATGAAGAATTATAGCCAAAATTTTAAACAGGACACCTGAAATAGTACCTGATGTTCAAGGCAGGGCAGCTATCATTATTCTGATGCTTGCTGTTATCTTAGCTGTGATTCAAGAGGAAACAGAGGACCTTTTTGAGATGACTTTGTCTAGGCAGGCTTCTAATTGGGGATAGGCATCGCAGTGAACTTCTCCACTGTGGTAGAGACTGTTATGTGAAAATGATCTTTTCTCTCTCTTTTCTAGCAAGAACTGACCATAATCATATCTTCCCTTGAAGTAAAATGCAGTTATGTGACTGAGTTCTGGATGAGATGGAAACGGAGTCACTGAATGAGACTTCCAGAAAATTTCTTTCCATGTGATCAAAAGCATTATCATACTATTTTTCTTCTCTTTTCACAATGGGTCTAGGGTCATTCTGGGGACATGAGGACAGGGGTCACTCTAAGAATGGAGGAGCAGAAAACTAAGGAATTCTGAGTCCGGGTGCAATTGTGAAGCCCCCATACCAACACTGGATGGCCTGGTGAGAGGAATCAACAAACTGTGAGTTGTGTAGGCATTCAATTTGGGGTTTCTGTTACAAGCAGCCAAATGCAATCCCTAAGGGAAAGAGACCCAAGGGTGATACCTGTGACTGGAGCTCAGGAGTTATTAGCAGGTTCCTGTATGGAATATACTCAAGGTTTCCAACTTTCCCTAGGAAATAAAACATGGCAGATTATCACATAAAATGTGGGACTTTAAGTTGTGAGTTTCCAAGGTCATTGTGTTGGGTAGTAATGGATAATGGCACTGAGTCAAAAGAAATATGAATTAAAAAATATAGTTTTCTCTTCTTTCATATACTGGGTTTAAAACAGTATAAATTATGCCAATAACTATGGCGTAAGCATTGCTTTTAGAGGTGAGTTTCCAGGTCTCAAAGCTCTAGGATTGATTTTGGGTAAACTTATCTGAAATGTCCTTTTAAACAAGTATTTAAGCAATCCAGGGCCTGATTTCCTGATAAAATTCACACCACTTAGATTCATGAATAACTCTCTCTTTGCAGCTGATCACCAATTTTTCTGTGTTATTTTACATACCCCCAACAGTTTTAGACAACTTCTAAAAGACTGGCCTGACCTAAAACTTTTTTGCCTGCATTTTGGTTGACAGCGGACCTCTCCCACTTACTGAAAATAACATTGCAGATTTCCTGCCTAACAAATGGTGGCAAAGAGGGGCAGAAAAAAAAAAAACAAAAAAACGAGGCGTCAGTGATCCTACCTATGAAAATAGGGCACATGCTGTGCTAAAAAAGGAGAAGGATGAAAGGTCACTCAGTGGCTGTGTATCCATCCATTGTTCAGTGCAGGAGACGCTGACTCACTGTGCTGACGGCTGGGGAAATCCTGTATTTCCCTCGATGGGGGCTGTTGGTTTCATCTTGCTTAGGAGAGGCAGGCGCTTTATTGTTCTGCTGGAGACTTCGTGCCACTATTGCAGACTTGTGCCAAGTTGCAGGTGGCCTCTATAAATTATGTCATTGGGCGTTAACGTTTGGGGTGTAACATTTTCTTCTATTGTTTGAACATTCTTTTCACTCACCTGGAACAATGTGGCTAAGTCTTCAAGAAAAAATCCTCCCATGCTCACCTGTTGTATTTTTATGCTGTTGTGGGTTTTTTGTTGTTATTTGTGGTGCTGGGGATGAAACACAGGGACTCATGCATGCTGGGCAAGTGCTGTGCCAATGAGCTACACCCCCGAACCTTTCTTCTGTTACTCTCAAAAGAAGTTAATCTCTGCATTTTTACCATATTAGATAAATATCATGTAATTGTCAATTATTTATTTCATCATATTAAGAGAATACTACATGGGTTGTCAATGATATCCAATATCATGAACTCAATACTATCCTCCTCAATTTACAAGAAGGAAACAACAAACGTTAAGACATGGTGTCTGCCTTAAATGCATGAAGAAACTAAGTCAACTCGAGAATAATATGGCCTATAACTCACATCAGTCCCATGGCTGCAACTGAAGACCAAGGAGGACTCAGTGTGGAACTGCGTGGACTAAGGTCAAGGAAGAAGTCACCAAAGAGGTAATGAGTGACTCGAGGGTTCGAAGTTTATGTAGGTTCTAAATTGGGAGTCAAACTAAAAACATGCTGGCAGAAAACAGTAAATTAAAAGTAGGCCTGAAAAACAAGAGAATATGCAAAGAGAAACTTAAATATGTGTTAAACTTTTATGTATGCTTCTGCAAATTGATGAGAATAGTGTTATGTGCATGTAATAACTTATGTAGTATTTTCTTAATATGATGCAATAGATAATTGCCGATTACATGAAGTTAACCTAATGTAATAGAGAGAGATAACATTGTGGTATTTGGCTTGATGCACTAGAAAACAGAGGACCTTTAGATATGTGCAAAGATACAATTAAAGCAATGCTAGAGAAATGCAGCAAGTGTTTATTAATTATTAATATAATACTTGCAAAGTAAATGAATAATTAAATTAAAATTTAATGTAGAGATGTTTAGAATTACTGAAGAGGATAAACTATTTACTAACATTAAAGAATCCACTTATGGACAATTAAGATTCTATGCCCAAATTACAGAATGATGAAACTGGTGGGATCAAAGATAATTTCTTTCAATCCTCTAATATATTTGATGAAGAATTTTTGGTAAGATATGTACTATAGTAAACTCTCTATTATCTTGACAAATGCACACTTGTATAGGCAGCCTGATGCAGGTCACATTATTTTAAAACATTCCACAATTTAGACTTATGCTAGGTTGTACTAATTGTTCTGAATTAGTGAAGTTTTAAACAGTCAAGGTAAGGAAAATCTGATCAGAGTAAGCAAACGGTTTCCATGTTCCAGGTGGTGCTTTGTTGACAAAACTGTGCATTATGGAGATATCATTTAAAAACTTATTGTAATAAACTGAGCTTGTTTCTTTTGTCCATTGCATAGAATATATATTTCCCACTGAGCTGTTCTCAACAATTTGCACTTGCTGATTTGCAAAAGATTTTGTTGAAAGGTTTTTTTGTTTGTTTTTGTAACTTTAAGTTTATTCAAGTTTCTTTTCCTCTCCCTCTATCCTTCCTGCCCACTTTTAATTTTCTTTACTATTTTATTGTCTGTTTCTTTAGGCTCAATGAATTATCTTTAAGCTTTTCTAAAATTTGATGGATTTAATTTTATTTGACATCTTGGTTATTTCCCATGATGCTACTCCTAACTGAAATCTGACTCTCATCTGTCATTCTGAGTGCAATCCAATATTAGAGAATCTTTCAATATCTACCTGTTGAGTCTTTTGGAAATTACTCAGAAACATCTGTAGAACTCTGTCTTGCAAAGTATGGCCAATAGGTTTAACTGCAATAATTTTCATTTTATTGCTATATGAAATACCTTTTGCTCTTGAATAACTTCAAGAATATTTGAGTAATAAACAGGTCAAATCTCTGGATATAAAATCTCACAACCTAGCAAAGCAATGGTGATTTCATTCTTAATGTAGACAATGTTTTGTCTATATGTGACCTTTTCTTTAATTTTTGTTTTATTTTATTGATTCTTCTTAGTTATACATGACAGTAGAATCCATTTTGATAAAATTATATAAGCATAAGCTATATATTTCATTCTAATTAGGACCCCAATCTTATGGGTGGGCACTTAATGGTGGGGTTCACTTAAGTATTTTCATAAGTGTACATAGGACAAATATGTTAGATTTATTCCTTTTGATTTCCAAGTATTCATATGCACATTCTCCTTATCATTTGCATATAATTTGTATATTCAGAGTCTTGTTCTTACATCAAAGTAAGTTTTAAATGGAAAGGTTTCATAATCATTAGGTGTCTCTCACTGACATGATTTGAATTGGCAATACTAAAACAGAGTAGATCTCAGTTCAGGAGAAAGGACTTGGGAAACAGACAAAAATTGCCTCTTTATTGCTGAAAAAAAAATACAGCTTCTATTTTGAGCTTTTGTGTATAACTTTACATCCCTTTAAATTAGAGGATTAATTCCTGTGTTCAATGAATCATAGATTCTGATGTATCTCCCTATCAGGAAACTTCCACAAAATCCAGGGTCCAGAGTTTTTATTGGGGTTTACATGGCCACATTTGATTGAATCACTGGCTATATGATTGAACTCAATATCCAGCCTCTTCCTTCCCCCAGGGTTGGGAGATTTGGCTGACCTCAAAGTGAGATCCCAAAGTCCCATCAAAAATAACAAAGGCACTCACTCATATCACTTGGAAAATTCCAAAGATTTAGAGTCTCCCTTTCAGGAACCAGGGACAAAAATCCCTCAAATTATTTATTATCCAACTGGGTCCAATAATTTTAGCAACTTTTGTCAATGTTATTATGCCACTGAGTACCATAATAACTGTGAGGCAAAGGAAGTTTCCTGTGAGTGTTCACAATATTCCTCAGAGACGAGAAAAGAGTGCAGATAGGAGTACACGTTCAGTTGAAGATAACCTCGGACACTCTGAGAAACTAAATGCTTTAGGACATAAAGAATGTCAGGTGCTCCACTCATTTTCAATTTTCAGATTTGTAAACAAAAGAATAAAGGAGCCCATCATAACGTACTTCTGTAAATTAAGTCAAATAAAAATGTGGTTTTGAATTCTGTACTCATTAAGTAGAATGACAATTAAAAAGTAACTTCTGAGGAAAAGCTGATGAATTCTCATTTTTGGAAGAACAAATAGAGACAGAAGGTAAACTGGAACCCTCCAGAATTTGAGATACAGATGTCTGACATATGCTGTTTACAACCATTATCACTGCCTGGTGGCAACACAGGAAAAGGAACTTCCATTGAACACTTTGGTATTTGCTGTGTTGATGCAGGTTTGATTTATCTTATAGTCTTCCTAGAGAAGCAATAACAGACTTATAAAGATTACATTAGCATTTTTATACCTTTATAACAGTGGCTTAGGTGATGGCTTTGCATCTTATTAAACAAAAATAAGGATACTTAAAAAGTAGCCTGCTAGAGTTACAAGACATAAGGAGTCTCATGGATTACTTATTTATACCAGCTAATCCTGAGTCAGTGAAGGATCAACAGAAGAAACCAGACTTGCTTCATCAAAGAAGAAGGGCTTGAAGAGGAGGGTTCATTTAGGAACATAAGGAGAGATCTCTTCTGGTCTCTTTCCTTCAGACAGTTAATTCAGTAGCATTTTACATTTAAGACAAGTGAAGCCCAAGACAAGATAATTTCAACAAAGCTCTAAAACAGATACTGTTTAAATAAGAGTACAACAAAAAAATGTTAAAAGTCTTAATTAGCTTTCCATGTCTATATCAAAATACCCAAGATAAACAGCTTATAAAGAAGAAAGGTTTATTTTGGCTCACAGTTTTGGAGGTTTCAGTCCACGATCAATAGGCTCCATTGCTTTTGGTCTGCTGCAGATTGGTGCCTCAAGACACAGAGTGCATGTGGGAGCAAAGTATTCCTTTCATGGCTATGAATGAAAAAGAGAGAGTGGAGGCCCTAGGGCCCCACAGTCCATTTAAAACCCTTGATGACCAAAAGATGCCCCACCACCAGACCTCACTTCATACAGTTTATGCAATCTCCCAATAGCACCCAGATGGGAATAAGCCTTTAACACAAAGGTCTTTGGGGAGCATTTAAGATCTAAGCTACGGTAAACTTCAACCTCAGTGAACTTAAAACATTCCTCAACAATCCATCTGCTTTACATGAAGATAGAAGTGATAGAGACTATGAAGAAATTATTTACTAGGAAATTTACTTTCCTCAAAAGGAAAATAACAGTTGTTTTAGACATTTTTACATCATACCACTTTCATATCACATTAAGTAGACATTTTGCTTGTCAGGTTGCTTGTGTCAGATTAGCATGATTTATTTCGATGATTATCTTAATATTTTAAGTAAAACTTGTCCCTCTGTGGTGTTGGAAACTCTTTGTTAACATTAAGTGTCAGAATCATAAATTAACAAGGAAACTGTTTGGTTCCTATGCAACTCCAGGAGAAAATGTTTTGTTCTCTTGGTTCTTGCAGAAAAGACTGCAGAGAGATCTTGGACCTAAGGACAAAACCAGATAAGAATCAGTACAAAGGCACCAAGACTTTTGCACAACTGGATAAAGGAAAGAAAGGAAATTCCAGCTATATGCAGTGTAACTGGTTACCTTTACAGTATAAATAAAATCTCTAAAAGGGCCTGATATTTGGTAAGATCTCGTTTCTGAAGAATGCTTCTTTAAACATTGATTGGTATTTTATCATGTACAGTTCATGAGGCCTATCTGTGACCCAGATCTTTGTAGGTAAAGCCCAAGATTTTATACTGGATTCATATAAGATAGGCAAATGATTAACATTTTCCATGTATAAAGAACTCTTCAAAAAGATAAATATAAAACAGAAAAAAATGGTATATAACAGGCAGATTGCAAAATAAGAAATACAACTAGCAAACAAACACATTGGAAAAGCATTTCCCCCCCCCCTAGCAATCAAAGAAACGTGATGAATAAAATATTTAGCAATTTTTATTTACTCAATTGGCAAATAGGTAAAAATTATATAATCTCCACTAAATGAATGTTCAGCATCTTCTTAACTTTTAGTAATAAGTGGAGAGAAATATGCTAATAAGTATGAGTCATTTTTGAAAGTTTTATATTTGTGAAACAGAAATAGTACTTTTATAAATTTATACTATATAAGAGCTATACAAAGAGTTGAGAATGAGATTTCTTCACAGTAAGAATGTGGAAACAATGCAACTTTGTAACTGTAAAGGTTTATTAAATTATAGACTTTTGTGATGGAATATTTATTAAACAGTGACTAGTATATTCTCAAAGTACATGTTCATCATATATTAAGTCTTAAAGAAAGAGTTTTAAAAGAAGTACAATTTCTATTTGGTTATGAAAGATGCTATATAGAAAAAAAAACACTAAAATATAAGCTAAAATTTTAATATCTGGTGTCTCTAGATGTGAAAATATATTTCATTTTATACTTTTATTCTATATTTTTCAATTTTTATATGAAACATGAATTATTTTTAGAGATAGAGAAAACAATGAATGAAGGAGAATGAAGTAAAATGATCTTTAATAGCCTTTCATCATCAAAATGTTGTGATTCTGTTTTTGGAAATAAAGAGTATATTTATATATTTTAGTTGTAATGGGATTTTGTCTTGCATATCAGCATAGTCCTGTTTGGCATACCTCTGAACCAAGTAAAGGAGAGGAAATATGCACTATAACATAAGAGAAAATAGAGTGTAACAATTTAGGAGGCCAGGGATTCTTCTTGGAGGATGGCTGGATATAGCTGAATATATGCACCCATGTAACCCTCCCCTCCAAACACACATGAAACAAAAGTTTCAAACACAAATACAAAAACTTACCAACTTTACACAGAGTGATAATTCTATTATATTTCTTTTATTTTTAGGATGATGGTAAGAGTTATAGAACATTGCACTAGGAGCTCAAAACATCCTGAGCACAAAAGTATACAAATATTCCCCAGGTATGGACCAAAGATTGAGACTCCAGAGTGGGGTAAACTAATAAGGTGACTAAAAAGAAAAAAAAATTGTATGAACTTTTGTTTGTACTAATTTATTATCTTAATGTCTATATGTATACCTTTTCATAGTGTAAATATTAATACCACTAATGCATATAAGTTATAAATGAACATGAATAACATAGATTAGAGACGTGTTCATTTCTTTTCCTTCATAAAACTGTGTGATTAAAAATTTGAAAAAAAGGGGGGATATGGACTAAGGGTATGCAAAAAGAGATGAGAGGAGAAGACAGTTCTAATTAGGAGAGTTCCACTCAAAAAAGAATGAGTCTTGCAGGATGAATTATATTTTGCCAGACATACATATAAAAAAGATATCATAAAGAAGTGTTTTTTTTTGTGTTCAGATGATCAGATTGCAGAGGGGTCCTTGGAGGATCCCAAGAATGATGGGAATCAAATCTGAAGACAGCACAGGAGAAGAGGAAGGAAGCATCAGAAAGTTTTCCTTCTATCTAAAGACACTAGGGCAGGGTGGTTTCTACAGAGCTTCTCTTACTGGTGCCTTAGGAGCTGTGGTGCATGCCTTTTATTTATTTATTTTTTTGTCCAACTATATTCTCCACTCATCGTCATCTACTTAGTACCCCAGGAGGCTGACCCATGGCTGCATAAATGGGTTATCTTGCCCTATGTCTTTCATTTCGTTCCTTCAGTGGGATGAGGAATAAGCATCAAGAGGTCAGAACCAAAAAGAAGGTGAGTCTGGAAGAAGATCACTTCTCGGATCACGCTCAACTAGATACTCATGGTGGCTGTCTCTCTTACAAAAGGGTATATGTCATATAGCTGCACACGCTTTCTTTAGTTCTGGGCACCAGAAACTTCCATTGTCAAGCTACTTTAGACCATGACAGGAAGGGAGTCATTCCATATTTGTTTCCCTATATTTGACGCAGAACTTTGTAGAAAAGAACTATATTCTATTAAACTTTTCTCAAAATTTGAGCGTGCATCTATTTCATGTTGGGATTCCGACAGATACAGGTTCAAAAGAAGTGGGACTGGATTTCTATATGGGCAGAATATAGAACACCAATAGTCTGAGCACTTGGAAGCAGGGCCAGCACAGGAAAAGAAGAGAGATAGGGGTTAACTGGAAATGCCAATAAAAGGTTTATCAGGCCATCTGTATAAGGCAGCCTCAGTTTCTCATTATAGCCCAAGAAGAGAACTGAGAAGGGAAATGACACACAGGGGACTTCTGTGGGAATGTTCAATACCTTAATATGGCAGACAACCCATAGGGGTTCACTTTATTATTCATTCTTATCACTGTACATTTATATTTCATGAACTATTCTTCATGTGAGATATATTTCACAACTAAACAAATAGGAGGGAAAGAGTGAATGATTGTGAGTGAGGAGAACGATAGTACATGTGAATTATTTTAGTGAAATATTTGATATGTTTTACATACTATTTTCTGTTATTTAATTTCCTATTAGAATTGTGAAGTAGAAATGCTCATCCTTTATTTCAGATATTTACAGCAATATTTGAAAGTGTCATATGTAGGCTGTCATAATTCCATCATTCAATCAGAAAAAATTGTGAATCCCCAAATTATACTATTCCATTTTGCAAAATATTCTTACTTGCCATCTCAAATCAATTTTAACCCAGAGGGTTTTGAATAACTAATTTTTATTTTCTAAAGATTCTTTAATCATTAACAGGAAAATTTAAAGTTCAATTAATGCAAGCTCAAAAACATTGCCAGCTTGTGAAACAACCTCAAAATAGATAGCTTTAAAATATTTACAATATTTTTATCAGTCTGAATTTTAAAAGTGAAGAAAATGTTCAATTTATCCCAGTTATCACAGCAATGAAGGATGCTTATAAATATCTAAGCAGGATGGAGTTTGGCATTATCTGTTTTTTAAACAGAAAATTTCTCAGTACATATGTGCATAAAATCCCCTTGAGATTGACCTAGCAATGGAGAATAGTTTCAGGGATAAAAACAGAAAAGTGTTTATGATACTCATTCCCTACTGAGAATATAAATGAGTAAAGACATTATTATTAAACCCATTTGAATTGGATTTTTTTCTCCAACAACTTATATTTATTGCTTTTGGTTTCATTTTAAAGTCAACGTGAATTCAGATGTGAGGAAGGAAATGCTTTATTCATATGAAATTTCTGCAGTGATTTATACACGAATGCTTCAGGCAAAAAGTAAGATGAAAGCACTTTATTCTCCATTTAAAATTCTTTTCCACAGTTCATAACTAAAATTCTTTCTCACTGGTTATTGAGTTTAAACTCACTTAAAGCCCTGAAAAAGGCATGGGAGACGTGCTCTCTAGGTGGACTCAGTCCCCTCCTAATACAGAAGTTGCTGGAGCAGAAGAGGAGGAAAGGACATGATGACTAGAAGAAAATCTACCTTGTACAGCTTGACTTGATTTCTGTGGTGGGGTTGGGAGCTAAAAAGTTCAAAAGGTAGTGGAAGCAACTGGACAGGGATGGGAGCTTGGAGGGCCTAGGAAACTAAACCTAATACTAAACACTTTTTACTTACAACAGTAAATCATTCTAGGCTCTTGAGAAATAGAACAATCCAATACATAGACTATTTCAGGAGAACTAATCTTATAGCCACGTACCATATCAGTTGAACTGAATCCAGAGAGGTCAAACTTTGGGGCAACTGCAGTAATAAGAACCCATAAATGAGAGAGGGGTGGACCAACCAATAAGCTTGTATGATAATTTCAAATAGAAGATGTTGGTGGAAGGATGGACACAGAAGCAGGAATTGGAAGAGTAAAACATAATTGCAAATCTTCTAGCCTTCAAGATTGAGGAGATGGAGGCCAGAACAGGACCACTGGGAATATGTTTGTGATTACATACAGATTTCAGTGAGGAAGATCAGCTTGATTTAGCATATTGAGTTTGTGAATGTGCACAGTAGGTAGTGTGATTGTGTTGGTAGCCACTAGTGGCTAATTCTCTCCAACAGAATTAGAATGAAAAATAGGAGCAGAGAGAATGGGAAAGATATTTAGTGTGCCATGAAAGCAGAGTGAAGGAGCAGGAAGAGAAGCAATGGGATGCAATGCTATAGAAATGGACAGAAGAGCTCTGAGAAGCAGACAGGGACAGGGGTCAAGATTTTACTGACATCAAGGATGTGGAATTTGAGAATGAGCTCCGCAGGATGAAGTAGCTGAATTTAATGGGGTAGCCATGGTTCAAGTCAGAACACAGCAGTTAATTTAGAAGGTAGTGAAGGCAGATGGCTAAACAAAGTTGCTGAATATTGATCACAGGAAGAAACGAGCAAGGGTAAGAACAAACTAGAAAGTGTGATGCAGAATAGCACTTACAGAGACATCGGCATCAACTACAAGGTTTATTATTTTGGGTAGGGTAGTTGTTGTTTGCTTTTTTGTTTGTTTTAATTTCTGTTGGATTTGGTTTTGGAAACTGAGATTCTTAGGAAATGGGAATCAAGAGGCCACCTGTTTCCAAATATAGTACTGCCATGGATATAAACTGCCATGATTCATCTGAAAACAGGTTCAATGCCATAGCTGTTTTTTAATTTTATTTTTGTGGCTTGAAATGAAGAGTTACAAAGATCAGCTCACATGAATAAAAAGGAAAAATTTTAAAAAAATGTTAAAATACTTTTTGTATCCGATTTCATTGCAAAGGACAGCTTCATAGCCCCCTTCATACTGGTAAGAAAACAGCATCTTGAGACTACTTTCTGCCCGCTCAAACTGTGAGCATAGACTAGAACCAGATGTGTTCTGACCTTCTCCAAACCTACACACAGGCAGGAGGCCATCACATACTGTTTAAATACAGCCCACATGTCACAAAGGCAGGCTCGGGTTTTCCATGATGCACCTACAAGGCTGAGGCCCAGCCAGCTGGCAACGAAGGCCCTAGGCTACAATTCTACAAAGAACATGTTCCCCAGAGAGGAAAGCCTGTGCTGTGGACAGAGAAGTCACCAAGTGGTCACTCTTCTACCAAAGATGGATCATCATTGGCCTAAGCTGCTTTAGCAGAAATTTGATACATACTTTTGAACTTTTTCCATTTCCTCATAATGAAAAAAAGACATGGAGATGTTTGTTAACCTGAAAGGTTAACTTTTAGAAACTGGAAAATCCAAAAAAGAGAAGAGTGCTTTAGGTTATTTGTTGTTGTTTTGTTTTGTCAACATGACTCAAGCAACAGACTCTTGCCACTTCCCGTGTGGTCAACTGCCACTATCCAGTGTATCTCTCACTGGGAATTTTAGTTTTTAAATTCAGCTTTGACATTTTTCTTAATTTCTTTCCATTGCTCTTTTTAGACCACCCTGAAAATATTTTCCAAAAAAAATTTTAAACTTGTCTGTTTCTCTTACATGCGCACACACACACACACACACACACACACACACACACACCAATATCTCTCTCTCTGTCTCATTCCTGATCTTAAAGAATGAAAATAATACATTTTAACTATCAAGTTTAAGTTCAACAAATGTATTCTGAATACCAAGTGACAGTAAGCACTTTGTTTTTGTTTGAAAATAGCTATATTACTTTTGGGAAAATTATATTTTCTTCAATTTTTCTTCTTCCTATTGAAAAACATACCCACATATAATCAATATTGACTATTGGTTAATTCTCCATTGTCCTTTCATGCATGTTTATAAATACATATATAAGCACACATATATACACATACATATGTGTTTGCACACTTATAATCTTTAAATAACATATATATATATATATATATATATATACACAAATATATATATATATAATCAGCTTCTTTCACTCAATATGCCATGATTATCATCCCTAGTTCAAAAATGTATAACTACATTCTTATTTTAATAGTTGTATCATATGATAGGATGCACACACACTATAATTTTTTAAACTAAGCTCCCAGTGATAGACTTCTAAGTTATTATGATTTTGTATGATTAAATTTCAAGAAGTAAACTTATGCATGTAGTTTTTAATTCTCTTCCAAAATCTTATTGTTTGTCAGTAGGTCAGCAACTCTTCCCCTCTCCATGTTTCCTAACCTTACTTCAGATTGGCTTAAGAGGGCTTGAGCATAATTTTTGCTTGCATGAAGAGCTTTCAAGGGAACCACACTGTATGCACTGCTCCTAGTAGAACAGATGGGATCCAATGGTGGGAGTTGCCTAGAGGTAGAGTTTGGTTCAAACAAAGAAACAAACAAACAAACAAAAAGAAAGCTTTAATAGAGCTACATTAAATACATAATACAGATGAAAAGGTATGCGGAAAGTGGCATAGCACCATAATGGTTAAAACAAATACCACTGTAATGGCGTAATTATGGAAGGAATTGCCTTACTCAGGGGTGAAATCCTAGCTATTGTCTAGTTTTGTACTAAAGCAGGATGAATAATTTTTAGCAATTACAAGGCATTTGGGTCCTAGGTGAAAGACTGAACAGGATGACCCTTTCTATTTCATTCTCCTATAAGTTTCTAAGATTCTCAGGTAGAGCTAATGTTGACCTGGCCTTGAGTCTCACACCCTCACAGCCACTTCCCGAAGTCCTTCCCCAGAAAATGTATGTATATTGTAGTAAGGGACTTTTGATGACCTTATTTTTGACAGATTCTTGACAGGGAAGTAGAAGGAGATATTTGGTATCGGGAAGCCTTTCACAGCTCCCACTTGAATCAGTACTTTTCTAATATCTATTTATAAGTTTCAAACTCAAACATCATGGGTCTCAAATAGGACTAATTTCTGTTATTCCCTTTCCTAGAAGATATCCAGAATTTCAGTCCATAATATTTTGCTGGATTTTGAGTCCCTGGGTTGACAAAGAAGAATAGCAATAGGAAGAAATATGTACATTCCAGCATGCC